CTCGCGCTCGGCTCTCCTCCCTCAGCATCGAAGCATGCTTGCTCCCCTCTCCACTGAACAGTCGCTTCGTTTCTTCCTCATCGGATCGAAGTTGTTCGTCTCCCCCTCTCTTCCTCAACATCGAAAGCTCCTCCACCTTCGACTCGATCCCGTCTCTACACCGAAAGCATTAGGCCCCTCTGCATCGTATTTGACTCCTTCCTCTCACGACGAGATTGGACTCCCCTTCTCCCAGAACCGAGATTCGGCTCTCCTCCGACCCTTCTTCACGAAACGCTAGGCGTGCCTCTGCCTCCCTGATCGAAGCTCCTGCTTGTCTCTCGCGCTCGATCAAAGACCCCGCTCGCCTTCCGCCCACTGCAAACCGAGGACCAGCTCCTCCGCTCGACCCCGCTCGCCTGCTCCTCCCTCTCGCCCGGGACAGAGCGGCCGCTTGATCCTGCTCGCCTGCTTTCCTCTGCGACTTGAAGCCTGCTCCCCTGCTCCTTTGCAAACCAAAACCATCGCCTGCTCCTCTCTCTCACGCACCGAAGTCTGCTCCCCTCTCTCGCTCGACCAACACCCTCTACAGAAACTTTGATCCACCTCTCTTATCCTCAGCTCCCGATTCCGTTTTAAACCATTGTTGTCCCAATTGAACTTTCGTAGAGTCGCGGCTATCGGTAGCAAGAAAGCACTGACGAGATCACGATGAACAGAGTCGAAATTCTTGCACTTCTCCCTTTCTATTCAGCCACTGTTCTTGCCTCAAGCAAGTTGTTGTGTATTTGGAAGGGCGCTTTACTCCACGACAGTTAGGGATTGATCAGAAAGCTGCTTCTTTTTGGTATGTGGTGGATTTCAATGATCATTTTTCAATATTGCCCTCTCGTGTTACTTTTTTTTACCATACCATTCAATTGAGGATACTAACAAATATGAACGATTGGCTTAGGGAAAAGTTCTTGATGCGCAAAATGAAGATTTTTGTTTGATAGTTGTTAGTTAAATTTTCACATTTTCAAACATAGACCCTAGCAAAGTTGGCTTATTGCACTATTATCTTGCTTCAAAATTATCTTGTTTCTGTTTGAGAAATTTGTTGTTGGAAACCTTTTGAGCTTCCTATCTGCAGTCAACATATTAATTGTTGCTCATGTTAAAGTGTCATTTTGGAGTTGTTGTTGGGAGGCTTTTTAATTAACTTCTAAAATTAACAATCCTTTTTCTGATTGTTATTTTACGCTGTTGTTGGGAGGCTTTTTAATTACTGTTTGAAGGCTTTCAAACTGCTGTTTAGAATACTTCTAAAATTGTTCTTCGAGACATGTTAAAGTGTCATTTTGGAGCTTTAAAAAGTTTTGTTTTGGAGACATGAAAACATTGTTTCAAGGTTGTTTTATTCACTGTTTCGGAGTCATTGCGGGTGTCGATTTGGGGTCATTTAAATGATGATTTGGGGGCAGTTTTGGGAATGATTTATGACTGTCTTAAAC